TTAATCTGGATGAAATAGACTGTGCATGAAATTTAACTTGAGTCAGTATTGACAGTAACAATGTTCTTTCTTGTCATCAAATTCTAAATGACACAGTTGGTGATACTGACACTGTATGAGATTACAAAGCATCCAAAGAAATGCAAACATTCAGGATTGATGTCATGCAGCAAAGACAACAAGGTTACTCTGAAAAACAGAATGTAACCTATATAAAAAACAATGCTTTATATATGACAGAGTGAGTGAAAAGGGCAGACAAGACAAAACAAACATTTAAAGTATGTCATAGTAAAGAATAGGCACAACAATTTGTCACATGCATGCTTTCATCTTGTTTAAAGCATTTTATCTATGCAGTATATATTGTATGTAACCAAATATATACATATGTGTATATTTCAGCTATAGTTATGTTGCTCTAATAAATCATTTAAAGGATGATAAAAAAAGTTTCAAATACAATCACATATACTTTAAGAGACAGAGTGAGTTAACCAAAAATAGGAGTACTACAGTTCAGGAATCACACTGCAACAGCATCTTATGGGACAGTCTGTAATCACTTGGATGCAACTATTTAGAGACTCACTTCTCTTGCAATGCTAGCATGTTTATTTAACCATGTCTTCCTAAGTAATACAAAGGGGAGCCATGCCTAATATTCAAATACTATTGTGGTGTAATGGGATTATCATATTTTCCATATAAGTCTATTGTTTAGATTGTAATTTTTTGGCCTTCTTTCTAAAATTTAATTAGAATAGGTTAATAGAGCACTCTACTTCATGACCTATGTTGGATGAACTGATAAAAAATGAAGTGCCCAGGTTTTTGCAACTTGGTGTCAGACCATAGAAAAATGGCTACATTCTTAGCCCATTTGTATGTGTATTTAATCATAATAATCTAAGGCTCACCTTAAGACATGTAAGGAAATTACCATAGAAGTGTTCCTCACACATAGTTCAGTGCTTTACAAGCAAGCAGGCATGCACTGTAGTGGGTAAGATGCTTGTCAAGAGGTTGGCTCTCCAGATCAGAGCATCTTGGTTCAATATCCAACTTTGCCTCCTGACTGAAGCTTTTCACCAATAAAGACCTTGGGAGCCAAGGGTTATCTCCCATCACCACACAAGATCCATGTATACAGTTCCTAGTTCATGGTTTGGCCTGACCTCATCCTGTGAGCATTTGAGAAATCAAACAGTGGAATGGGCACTGTCTCTCTGAAACACACAGAAATACATCATACGCACATATTCACACACACACACTGGCACACATACCATTTGAAAATGCTTTCACAGGTGGGATGAAACTGCCTCATGCTGCTGTAGGCTTGTTTAGTAGATACGTTTGGCAATAATATATATTAAATGCGGAAAATTTGAAAATGTAGAGGAAATCACAGTAAGAACAATAAAACCAAATTGGTTCTTCCCATATTTCTCTCTTCCATATTCACTATTGAGGACTCAAACTCAAAAACATGTGACATTTCTTTTCCTAAAAGCAATTTCACAGGATGCAAAGCAGAAGTTGTTCTTTGTACTAAGGCTTCTGCCACCCCATTTGTGACCCAGATGGAGCTCTAGGATCCTGGTTCAGCCTGGCCCAGATTTTTATGGCCATTTGAGTAGTGAACCAGTGGGCAGAATATTTATTTGTCTCCGCTTATTCCTCTCCTCTTGTAAAACTGCCTTTCAAGAAAACACATAATTTGTTTAAAGAAGTAATTTCACTCACCTGATAATACAGTATTTCATACTTCTCTCCTTGAATGTTCCTTAAGAATTAATAACATATTCTGTTCCCTTCCATGTCCTTCCCTCTAGCCCCAAGCCTTTGCTTCCAACAGAAATCCCTCACTTAAGGAGATACTAATAAAGGAATTTATACCAAACAATATCTATTTCTTTCATTCCTTTCCAATATCCTTAAGCTTAAGCAATAAAATATTTGGAAAACCATAAGAAACTGCTCTTAATTTTAAGTCCAGAAGAGCTTTTAAGATTAAATAAACAACCCATTTATTAATAAGTTTATTTAACAATTTTGTACTTCATGTTTTCTCAGAAAAATTTTAAGATAAAATTGATTAAAGCTATTCCTAATGGTCTAGTAAATTAGTGGATTAGTTATAGCAAACATTTTTATCTTATACTTTATTTCGTATTTCTACAGTTTCCTGCTGCTCATGGCCATCATCATTGCCTTTCTTTGATTTAGTCATACTTCTTTAGACATGAACACTAGGGTGAAAATAGTTCTGCCATATCGTCATATCACACACTCCAGTTTGGTTCTATTTTGTGTTAGTTGTGATTAGCCTAGCTCTGATTTCAACCTTCTATAGTATGGACTAACAACTTTATATGGATTTTAAATGAAAGGAACTATGAAAAGAGAACAACTGAATAAAACTCGGATCAAAGAATCCTTAATTGAGTGATTTCTGCTAGAAGCACAGATTTGGGACTAGAGGCAGGGACACGCTAGGGAACAGAGATGTTATTACTTATGGGGGAGCACTGAAGGAGACAACTATAAAATACTAAAATGCATACAGAGTAAAAAATCCCCCATAAAATGTCATAACAATTAATTTTATTTGCCACAGCCCCCATACCATCAATTGTCCTAAGAACAGGGGCAATTTACCTCGAAGAAAATAATTAATAAGTTTTGTTTGGGGTGACGGGAGGGAAGGGACTGAGTTCTTTGAGGTCAGACCTGCTCTATTCTTTCACTTGAGAGAAGTGAAAGCCCACACTGCTGCTCCAAGTTGTTCAGGTGATGATCAAAAATGGCCTAATAATGTTAACATTGGAGCTGAGAAAGTACATTTATAAAAGACGGAGAGCATTAATCAACTTCAGAAGGAAATCAATCATAGCATTATGGACTGAACCAGAAGTGACTTTGTCTGACAACATTAATTTCATTGGTAAAATGTCCTTGGTTTGTGGTTGTGTAAGGCATGAAATGACAGAGAACGCTGTTCTATGTGAATCTTAAATGTCAAAAGTAAAATGCCTTACAACAAAGAGAAACTCCAGTAAAATATTTCTCATATACTCCCAGTGCTCATATACTCCCGGTGCACAATTAAAAATAGAATGTGTCTTTTAATGTAAGTTTTACATCAACAGGAGAGAGAGAGAGAGAGAGAGAGAGAGAGAGAGAGAGAGAGAGAAACTGGGAGTTGAGGACTGCATCCTGGTCTTCTATATGGAAGAGACACAGCATTCCAGTAATCAGCTACTGCCTTGCACAATTCTTTAGTCAGCAGATTGATCCAATGGGATTTCTTTGAACTGGAATTCTGAATTGTGATGTGAATATCACAAGTCACACCATACCCTGCGATGCCAGCACCCCCTCTTTAAAGGGCAGTTCTTTAACATAAACTGACACTTTAAACAAACACACTGCTTCTAAGTAGCTGGGTTTGTATTTTTATGTGTAAGGGGATTGCTTCATGCACTGTATTCTCAGAGTCACAATAGATGCATGATAATTACTACAACGCTACCTTTTACCGTTTTGAATGTTTAAACTGTTTTACACAATCTCCTCAAGTAATAAAAATATAAACATCCAGTTCTGAAGAACTTGAACAGTGCCACAGAGAAGGGCTGCTCAAAGAGCTGAGCTGGTGAGTTTTCGAAAAGTTATTGGTTTGATTTATTCTACAAATGTCAAACCGAGCTCTATCCCTTTCAAACTGTAGAGGGTTGAGAAAGCTTCAATATGTGTACAAGTTGAACACTGTTTTGGTAGATTTATATAAATTCACCTATCGTTGGAATAATCAGTTTAGCAGTTCACAAAAGAAATACACCTCCTTTGATGTCATTCACAGTAACAAAAGAACAGGGCAGAAGGGATTGGGGTAGTTGCTTGCCTATGTACCAAAAAAAGCTGAAAAAAAAATGCCAAGTAAAAAACACTGAAATGTTGAAAAAACAAAATACTCTGATTTCTTGAATATTAAACTCCCAGGTTGGGATTTTCATCTTTTTTCTTCTGTTAGGCTTAAAGTAGATGATAGACAGATGAAAGAGATTAAGATATAACTTTAAATCCTACGAAGCCACATAAAACATTTCAATACAGACATATATAATACAGACATATTTAGGCTACCACAGACACATAATGTATTGAAAAGAACATACTGAGCCTGAAGACAAATGCATCTTTCAAAAGCAGCTCATCTACTATTGGGGAATCACTTAACATGACAGATATCAATTCCTTTACAGTTTTCGCACTTTCTAAATGAAATACTACAGGATAAATAAAGTCAATTGTCACAAGAAATATTTGTTCTTTGCACTCCTAGCTTTATTGTTTACTTTAAAATTTTCATCTTTGAAGCGGAGAGAGGAGAATGGGAATTGTCCATCCACTGCTCATTCTCCAAATGACTTTGTTGTTCGAAGCGGGGCCAGATGGAAATTAGGAGCTAGGAACTGCATCCTTGTCTCCCACACTGTTGTTAGGGACCACCTACCTGAAATATCACGAACGACTTGACTTCTCAGGATGCTTTATTCAAAAGTTGTTTAGGAAACGAAAAACTTGAACCATCACTCTAATCTGGAGTGCAGGAATGTAAAGCTGCACCTTAACCCATTGTGCCAGAATATCAAATTCTGCTAGCTTTATTTTAGACTGTGTTCATTCCAGATTTATTAAACAAAATTTAACATTTTCTCAAAGCAGTTAATTTTTTTGTGTATGTGAGAGAGACTTCAAATAGAACCCATGCCTTGGATTTTAAACTAAACTGTGATCCTTATTAAGAAACAAAGGGCACAGAGAATCATTTTTGCAAGGCTGTCACAGTTACAGTAAATCACTGTGCAGAACTACTAGCCTTTAAGCATCAAATACAAATTAGCATTATTCATGTCTGCAGTGTGTTTCATTTTCAATGCAACAACAGAAACCCCAGCTGGTCAAAAAGATCAAACTAAAAGCAACATTACCATCATCATGCTGGCCCACGCAGGCTACGATGAGACAGCCAAGAATGATCCCCGAAGCTAAACATTTCCAGAGACACAACTGTTGTAACATCTTCTGTCAAAATTCACTCAAGGATGATCTGAAATAACAGGAGGAAGAAAAAAAAATTGGCATGTTCATTAATCTGTTATAGGTAAACACAACTGTCACATCACAAAAAAGGCCTTAATGACTTCATAGTTAATTATCTGTGCCTCTCCATCTATTAACAAAGCACCACACTTGTTTAATGCACTGGAACTTTTCATTGGCATGGATTTGAAGACAAGCAATCTCTAAGGAAAGGCTTCTTTGCTGTTACTGAATTTGCAAGCATGAAGTGCCCATAATTCTGATACCAAAAGTATTTAGTCTGCAAAATTAAGATCTTGTATATAAGTCAAATAGTCACTAATTTATTTCACAGTCGAACATACCGTGTAGCATCATTCAATTGCACAGTATTTTTGTTTCACAATAATTTCACATGATAAACCAGATAATATTGTACACTAGAAATTCAATGAAAACTTGTCTTATATAACTATAAAAATGAGCAAAAAAGCACATTTTAGAAAAAAAAAAACCAGCTCATTTTGGGGCCAGCATTGTGGCATTGTGGATAAATCTGCCACCTGCAATGCTGCCACATTCAGACACCTGGTCATGCCCTACTCACTCCACTTCCAATTCAGCTCCATGGTAATTTGCTTGGCAAAGCAGCGGAAGATGGCCTAATACTTAGGCCTCAGTATTTACAAAGAAGATGCAGAAGTTCCTGTGTCCTGCTTTTAGCCTGGTCCAGCTTCTATCATTGTGGCCATTTATGGAGAAACCATTAAAAGGAGGTACCCCCATTTCAAATCAATAACTTACATTCAAAAGATGCTAATCATATCATCACAGAGTGTTTGAGTATTAACTATGCTAAGGAACACTAAAAAGAAAATATTCTATCAGTCGTACCACATCTGTTTGTATTTGGGGAGAATTTCATTTGGATTACTTTGTCTTACTTTGCAATAATTTAGGGAGTGAAGAATAAAACTAATAACCAAACAAAAGCCAAAAAGCTGAGAGATCAGCAGCCAGCAAGTCCACCAGAAATACTTCTTAAATGTATTATGCTCTCAGTTCATTTGTAAATTAAGAAAATTATTCACACAAAATTGCTCAAAACATTCCTGATTACAAATTGGGCAGGACAGGGATGGGAACTCTGTTGCTCAAATTCAGAGGTTCCAAACTCAAATGTCTACAGAGGACAAGCAGACAAAGGAAACAAAGAAAAGTGGCCGCAGGGACAATGGGGATGGCAGAGGCTGTGATGGAGCAGACCGCAGGGTTTGCCTAATGAGACCAGCTGGTGCTCAACTGCTGTGGATGATCATCATGTGAGAATGCAAACCAGTAGCACCAGGTCTCCCCACGTTCCAGGGAGAGGCAGAAATCCAAATTTTTATGTGATTACCCAATGCTTAGATGGTTGTGAATCCTCTTGATAAGACCAAATGTTTTTGCCAGGCCATTTCATTATTTGAGGTTTTCCTGTTTCCTACTTTTGCCCAGAATTCTCCCTGTGGGACAATTTGTATAGGTTCATTAAAGCATACAAAGGAATTGTTTTAATTCTCCTTTTATCTACATTTTATTTCCTCCAATTTTATGCTTTATGTATTTAAAAATGTTTTCTTTTACTAAAAGTACAAGCTCAATTTTTCTTCGCTGAAGAAATGCAAAGCTCTTGAATTTCGAATTTATCTGCAGTAGATCATTCATATTTTAATATAAATTGTATTCCTTTTTGAAGCTGGTTTCTTTATGTAAAAGGAAAGGAAAGGGGGCCCGGCAAGGTTGCCTAATGGCTTAAGTTCTCGCCTTGAACGCGCTGGGATCCCATATGGACACCGGTTCTAATCCCAGCAGCCTCTCTTCCCATCCAGCTCCCTGCTTGTGGCCTGGGAAAGCAGAAGAGGATGGCCCTTAGCCTTGGAACACTGCACCTGCACTGGAGACCTGGAATAAGCTCTGGGCTCCTGGTTTCGGATCAGCTCAGCTCCAGCCATTGTGGCCACTTGGGGAGTGAATCAATGGATAGAAAATCTTCCTCTCTGTCTCTACTCCTATCTGAACATTTCAATTTCTAATAAAAATAAAAATAAATCTTACCAAAAAAGGAAAAGGGGGCTTTGTGCTTATCTGGCTCTTCACATTCTTTTTTTTTTCACAACACATGAAGTGTTCAAGTTCCTGCTCTCATATCTTGTACACAGATGTCTCAAATAAGAGACTATTATTAGATGCCAAGAAGGACTAACAAATCACATTTTCCAGTAAGGAAAAAATACAATAAATTGACTAATATTGACTAATTAGTCAACTGACAATTGACTAATATTGGTGGCTATAGAAATCAGTGGTTAAGAGTATAGCTTTTATTTCATAAATACACTAGCTTTAAAACATTTAAGAAATCATAGCAACTATTTCACATTTCTAATAGTAATTATATTCCAGTATTGTTTGGAACATTAATCAGTAAAATGAATATTCTGAGATCAGAATCTAAATTAAGTGAGCACTCTCTACATCACAACAAAGTATTTGTGACTTTGAACCTTCTCATCTTGTGATTTAATTATTGTTTCAACTCTTACCTACACTCTTATAGCACAGTGGAGTGGTTTTTCTATTTTTACTTGTTGTATATTAAATATATGACTATAAATAAATGTATGTTTTGGCAAAAAAAAGAACAACTGAAAAGAAAGGAAGGGTTTGAGAGAGGAAGAGAGGTATGATTACATTAGATTTGCAGCTATGAAATACACTAAATCTGTTCTCTATCAAGTCAGCCAGCCTGAGATAGAAAGCGGCAGCTTAGCCCCCCGCCCCCCACAGCAAATACTTGTGCTTACAGTAATTTCATTTTATTTTTAGACACGTATTTCTACCTAAGCATTTATTTTCCATTTAATAATTACTTCATCACGTACTACTCCTTTGACAGCCTCCTCCAACGTCAAGTACAAGTCAGATTCATTCGCTATAATTTTTCTCAGCCATTTTCTCTTATTCTAGGAACACAGCTCAGTTTGCAATAACATTTTTGTGAATAGCTAAATTGGCACTGCTTATGTTGCACCTAAACCTCTGCGGACGTGAAATCACTACCCAGGCTCCCAGTGCAGCCTTGGATCCCACAGCACTGCAGCCTGCTGAGCCACACAGCAGCTTCTGATCAAACGATGATGAATGGATTATTCTTCAAAACAAGATCAACATTTTTATATAGTAACCTACATCTCCATGTTATACACATATACACAAACATATAAAGCACGGAAATGTAGGTTACTATATATGTGTAGATAGAGAGAAAAGGAGAGGTAAAATCAATTCTTCTTCATGTTAATTCAGTAGACAAGAACAAATAACATAAGCCTTAAGGAATCTGTATTTCTTTCCAGATACTTGTGGTATGCTGTTGAAAAATGAAATATAGTTTGTAATCATGTAGCAAATTCCAATTTCATATGAACTCTATGAATTAAAATAGAGTTAAAGCTATTAGGCCATTTTGCTCCTTTTAAACAAACCTCAATTTTAATTTCTGCGTAAGTATGCCCTAATATCAGTAGTCTTCTAGAACATAAAATAATTTATGCTTTTAATAAGATTATGCATATTAATAAAGAAGTGAACATAAAACACAAAATATTTCAATGCTTTTGCCAAGATGCAGAAACAATGGAAAGTGATACAATAGTACCTCCCTCAAGAAAAAATTTCAGGGTCCAGCGCAGTAGCCTAGTGACTAATGTCCTGGCTTTGAATGCGCCAGGATCCCACATATGCACTGGTTCTAATATTGGCAGCCCTGCTTCCCATCCAGCTTTCTACCTGTGGCCTGGGAAAGCAGTTGAAGACAGTTCAAAGCCTTGGGACTCTGTATCTGCATGGTTCACCTGGAAGAGGCTCCAGGTTCCTGGCTCTGGGCTCCTGGCTCTAGGCTCCTGGTTTTGGGTTGGCTCAGCTCCAGCTATCGTGGCCACTTGGGGAATAATTCAACGGACTGAAGATCTTCCTCTATCGCTCCTCCTGTCTACCTCACTTTTCAATAAATAAATCAGACTTTTTGCCACTTGACAAGATTGGTCATTTTCTTACTCTGATTTGTGAAATAAAGAATAAAAGCCTAAATAACTACATTACAATGAAGCTTCAAAGTATCTGTAAAATGCTTCCTTTCTGGTTGTATTTTCCTGTTAGACTACTATTTTAGTAACTGTTTTTGAGGTGATATTTCTGTAAATACCCAAGAGTTTGTGCTCTGCATGTAATTATTAAAAGGACAAGTACAAATGCAATTGGAACAGAAGAATCTATCATTTAATGAGTAAAGTTAGTTAAGCTTGTTTCAAGATTTTAATAAGAGTAGCTAGCATCTGTTGTATGCAAATATTCATGCTTATTTTTTAAAGATTCATGTGTTTATTTGAAAGGTATATTTAGAGAAAATGAAAAGAGACAGAGAGCTCTTCCCTCATTGGTTCACTCTTCATACAGCTGCAACAGCAAGGGCTGGCCTAGCCAAAGCCAGGAGCTTCTTCTGAGTATCCCGTGTGGGTGACAGAGGCCCAAACAATGGGCCATCTTCCTCAGTTTTTTCCCAGGCCATTTGCAGAGATGCGGCTCAGAACTGAACCAGCCAGAGCAGGTATTGGCCCCCGTGTGGAAGCTTTAAATGCTACACCATAACACAGTCCCAAAACATTCATTAAATAAATCTTAAAAAAAGAAAAAAAAACTTTCAGAAAACAAAAAGGATGGACAAAGCATACACAGAGACTTAGATTGCATAGTTTTTCTTCCTAACTAGCACTCTTGTCCCTCCAATAGTCACTTTAAAAAGAATCACTTCCCTTTAGAACTACTGCTTAAGGTCTAATGTTCAAGTTTTAATTATTTCTTATAAACCATATAGCATAACTCTCAAAACTGAAAATTCTACTATTCTACTGATTCAGCAAGATATATCTCTTAGAAAAAAAAATCATTAGACGGTACTGAATTTCATGCAAATTTATGGTTAGAAACTT